GCCACGAGGCCTGGCTATTTTTTTTGTTGCAGTTTGACCAGGGCTGGGTTTGAACCCACCTCCCTGGGTATGTGGGGCCAGCGCCCTACCAGCTGAGCCACAGGTGCCACCCTGGATGTCAGAAAATTTTAAGTTGAGGGGAAAAAGGCTGGGATGGGGCATGGACAGGAAAACTTCCTATGGGTTGTTTGGGGTTGAAGGAGGGGAGGGGCGAGAGGTGGGAGAACTCAGCCTGAGGATGCAGAGGCCAGCAGCACTTCACTAATGGAGTCCGATAGTGAAAAAGCATCAAAGATATACAATGACCCAAATTCCTACATTTTCTGGATTTGGTTCCCAAGTGGAAAACAGGCTTCTGCTCTTGAGCATGGCCTCATATGTGCCTGAGGGAGAGAGGCTGGAGAGAGGCCAGGGGCTGAGGTCTGGATCTGGGAGGTCTGGTGGGAGGTGGGGGGATGCAAGGCTTGTTCTGGGAGCCAACGCATGCCTCTGTTTGGGGATTTGATTAGGTTCTGGCTGGAGGATTTGTTGAGCAGGGTACGTGGTGTGGCTGAGAGGAGGGTGGATGTTGGGGTTGCCATGGGGAAAGGGGATGATTGGGTAGCTGAAGCCCCAAATTCCAGGCAGAGAATTTTGCCTTGGATTTCTAGGCTCTGGATAGACCCTGAAGATGTACAGACTCAACTCAGGTCTACTTACTTTGGGTGCCATTTTCCCTTTTCTGTGACGTAGGGATTATGAACACAGCTTGGCATGAGGGTATTTCCACATGGTGTATGTATCCTGCTCTCAGGTGCAGGGGGCATGTCCTTTGTGTGAGTGTGCTGGGATCTGCCTTATGTTGCTGAGTGAGTATATCTGGTCTGTGCTTTTCTGGATTATGTGTGAGTGGACAGAGGCTCTGTTTTATGGTGTTTTATGGGTCTGCGAAGGTGCCTGAGTTGTACATCTTAGTGTGTGTCCAGCTTATAGATCTGCGCTCTCTCTGTCTCTTTCTTTTTTTCTTTTTTGAGACAGTCTCACTTTGTCACCCTCTGTAGAGTAATCTGGCATCATAGCTCACAGCAACTTCAAACTCTTGGGCTCCAGAGATCCTCTTGCCTCAGCCTCCCGAGCAACTGGGACTAAAGGTGCCTGCCACAATACTTGGCTATTTTTAGAGATGGGCTCTCTTACTCAGGCTGGTCTCAAATTCCTGAACTCCTGAGCTCAAGGGATCCACTCACCTCAGCCTCCCAGAGTGCTAGAATTACAGGCACCAGGCACTGTGCCCATCCATTTCTTTCTTTTTTTTTTGAGACAGAGCCTCAAGCTGTCCCCCTGGGTAGAGTGCCGTGGCATTATAGCTCACAGCAACCTCCAACTCCTGGGCTCAAGC